CACCCCCCACCCCCACCCAGCCCCACCATGTACCATCACTGCTCCTCCCCAGCACGCAGCAATTGCCCATTCACTTATGCCCCCCACCCCCAAGGCTGGGAGCCCCAGGGGAGCAGGGGCAGCTTCTAGTGCGTGTTTAGTCTTTGCATCCAGCACCGGCACAGGGGAGACAGCATGAGCATTTGTGAGGAGAAGGCCGGGGCTGCCTCCTCTGTACCATTATGATGCTGTTCCCATCACCCAAATCTTTTCTCCACCCTCCTGAATTCTTCCTGTCAAAATGAAACCCCGTCCTTCCATGCCCAGTGCTAAGGCTATTTCCTCCAATAACCCATGGCTGGCACCACGCTGACACCCCTTTCCTCCTCAGAACCCCTCTTCCACATTGCCTCTCCTGCACAGCCTTGATCCTGTTAACTGGAAGCCACTCAAGAGAGGTCCTCAATGTTGGTGAACAGATTTAAACTGTGCAGAAGCCACGAACAGAACTTTTCTACAAACCAAGGTGCTGTTTGTATGATCACTTCCTGGCTCTTCTGACCCTCTGTCAATCCCATCCTCCAAAATTCAGAAGAGCTTTGCTTTGACCAAATCCCATCTGGTAAACTCTTCTAGCTGATTTCCCATTCCATGGATATTCATAGGAGGAGTTAGGTATCCTCCTTTTTCTGATGAGAAAATTATAGCTGTCAAGAATCACACTTGGCCCCAGGGTCACTCCTAAACAGAGCTATCTGTCACCCATCTCCTATCCCTTCTATTCTATCTATTTCCAGTCTTACACCCCATAGCCTGTTCATTCCGGAGAAAAGACAGTTTATTTGTTTGAAGCAATGGAGTGGCAAATCCATTTATCACAGAATGTTTGAACATGTGTTCATTAAGTCTTTAGTTGACTTTGGTAATCAAAAAAAACATCGGGTGTTATTGTGTTGGCCACTTGGATCAGCTGGCCTTTATGAGTGCGATGTCAGCCTAAATCCCTGCCCTGTCCTCTCTCGGTCACTGTCCCCTAAAGACAGGCTGGGAATCCAAGGCTGCTTGTGTGTGGGGAGGGTTGTCTAATGCCCTGTGCTCAGCAGCCTGTGCAGCCATAAAAGTCAGGAGCTGTGCTGTCTTCCCCCTCTCCACTGCCCACCGTGCATGTTTGGCCACAACCCCCAGGACAACACTGAGCTTGGAGCCTCAGCTTTCAACTCTGCCCAAAGTTAATCCTAGTCTCTTCCTCAAAGCAAAATGCAGAGATGTGTGATTACTACGGCATGGCACAGTGGTTGAGACACTGATAACAAACTGTGTAGGTGAGAATCATGGCTCTGCCATTTACTGCCACATGACCTTGAGCAATCTGCTTAACCACTCTGTGCCTCCACTTCTTCATCTTAAAACAGAATTGATAATGTTAAAAACTGATGGCAATAATGTTGAGGGTGAAGGGACCTACCTCCTGGAATCGGTGGGAGGGTTGTCTGCACTAAGACACATAAAGCCCTTAGTACTTGGCACGGAGCAAGATGTGTTTGCTGTTCTTAAGTGTTTGCTATTCTTAACATTAACCATTGATACTGAAAATAAGCTAGTTCACTTTTATGGTAACTGTGACCTGACTTTCTGAGGAATGAACTATAACCTTGACATTGTTGCTGGGGATCTTACACAGAACAGAAGCAGTCCAACGGGGCTAAAGGAGTCACACAAACCTGGGTTCACATCCCAGCCTCTCTGCTATGGCCCCAGGACATCTCTTCATCCCTCTGAGACGTGGTATCTTCATCTGTCTAATGGGTGTCGGCAACCTCTACCTGCCAAGGTCATACTAAGCCTTAAGTGAGCTCACAATGTGAAAGGAGCCCCACTCATCTCTCATTATCTTCCTCCTCAACCTGTTAGCTAACCACCCATTTTATATGTCAGTGGCATTATCAGATCCTTCTTTTGCCACTGTCTATTTCCACATATAACTCTGTCACTAGACATCAGTGCAGCCATGTCATTCATTGCTGTGTGCCCTGCGCCCAGCACAACCTGACCCTGAAAAGGTGCCCAGCAGATGCTCACAGGATGAAGAATGTTGGGCTGCAAAACAGGAGCCAGGTACATCTCTTGGTCCTTGCTTAGATCCTCAGTCCCAGTTGCCTGAGAACAGAGGTCTCCCCACAGCCCAATTCCAACCCCAGCCAATCAAGACACTATGACCCCGGTACCCCCTGCCCCACTCAGCATCTTTCCCTACTGAGCAGAAGATAAAGAAAGTTGCAAAGAAAGGTCAAGACTCTCAGACACATCTATCTTTATTTGTTTCCTGTCAGAAAATTTCAAGAATTACACCAAAAAATACTTCAGCCTCTGCTACCTACTGACAAAAATACACCACGAAATTATAAAGCGCTCAGCGGTTTTGCTAGGGACAATGTGTTATTCCGCTTTGGATGACAAATGAATTTACAGGTGACTCAAGGTGATGGGAGGGTGGGGGAGAAGAGAGGAAAAATCTGATGAGAGTGTTTGGCAGGATAGTTTGAGCTATACTAGTCTTATTACCCAGCTGTTGTGTATGATAATTTTGGCAACATAGCAAGCCACAAAAAAATATCCTTTAAATGGCCTGTCAGAGATTCACAGGGAAACAGTACCACACCTCAAATAACCAACTCTCCCAACCAGTTCTGGCCACCTTGGGCCTGGAGCTGACAACCCACAGAATGGGCCTCCCCAGCATGGGATTGCCTGAAATGGTTCCAGGGCAGCGGGGGAGCTGGTCAGTGCTGGATGCTTCCTCCCCATCAGGAGCTTCTAGAACCCGGTTGGGAAATGTCCCCCATCGACACAACAGAGTGGGCAAAAGACAGTCACATTTTTCAGCTTCCTTTAGAAATGACTTGGCATTGCTGCAGCCCCAGTCTTAGAGTCTCTCCCTGGCTATCACTTGAGGTTCCTTGTTACATTGTTGTTGCTATTGTCATTAGCACTTTGGGAAATCACAAACAAACAAAATTTTAAAATTGGGTGCCTGTGCTTGGAGCTTGGCCAAGTGTTACGTGCCTGTCCTGTGCCATCCTTCTTCTTGTAGCCTCTCCTTCCTTCTCTCCCACTCCACCCCTGCTGTCTCATAAACATGGACAGTATCCAGGAGTAGATCTAGAAAAAGAAGAAAAAGACAAAGAAAATCTGCCCCCTTCTCAATGTTCACTTATGCAAAACACATTCCACAGGGTAGACATTCAGAACCCAGGCCATGTTGATCTGCCCAGGCCCTAGAATGGATGCCCTATAAATTTTGTGCTAATCTTGCAAAATGCACCAATGGTCAGTATGTTTTACTCCATGGTGTGTGCATCCTGGGCTTACTAATGCCAGGATTAGTCCTTCTCTCCAACTTGACTGTTCTTAACTTCCTTTGTTCCTATCCTTCAGATCAAAGGCAAACCAAATAGCCCCAGTCTGTGCCACTTATGATTCTGTTCCCTCCGAAGCCCACGCTGAAGCTACAATTTCTCAGCTAAGAGGCCCACAGAGTCTGTGCTCTTTACTGCCCTTCAACAAACTCCAGATGGAGCCAAGTTAATGCATTTTGTTCATTTTCTTTGTTTCTTTCCTTTTCTGTTTTTAAATTTTCCTAACAGAGAATAAGCAGTGGCTTTAAAAATATCTTACATGGGAACAATCAACACGAAACATGCCTTTGTACATGAGCCTGACTTGGGGACGAATCAACAATACCAAGGGACAAAAAAAAATATCAACTCAGATGACTCCAGTGTACGATATTGTCGGTGAGTCCCTCCCACCCATCCCACCCTTCCCCACCCCTGCCCCCATATCCCAGGAGTACATTGTTGTCTGGAGCTTGACTTAGCCAACAGGGGGGTCCTCCTTTCCACACCACCCCTCCCCCCCATTCTGGCTGGGGTTATCCTCTAATGGCCCTGGGTCTTAGGTGGCTTGGGCTCATGGATGACAGCAGCTGCTGACAGCCATGGCCCGATGGCCCGGGCAGTGCTCTGCTTGGCCATGCTGTAGTGGCTGATGACTGTGTAGAAGCGGCTTCTGGAGCTAGGGTCCTGGGACGAGTAGTAAGCATCCAGGGAGGCCGGGATACAGCGCTTGTGCTGGGGAAGAAAGAAACAGTGTCAGCGTTTGTTCAGCGGGCTTCTTCCAATCCACTCTGCAACAAGGCCACCCCATCCAGGAGCCAAAGCCACATCAGACTTTCAGACAGAGAGCAGGTGACAACACCCAACCTGGGCCTGGCACACAGCTGGACTTCTCAGTATTATCACCGTCACCGTCATCAAAGCTGCCACTTAAAAGAAGCCAGAAACAAACCTGATGCTGATACTGATTCAAGGCCAACCTCCTCTGCTTACTGATCGCAGGGCTTAGTGAACACTGTTGCTACCCCGACCAGACCCCCTTTATCTGGCCGATTCATCCATCCGCTAGTTGTTTCCTGGGCCATTGCCCACAGCCAGTAGCTGTTTCTTTTAATTTCCTGGATTGTATGCTTGTATCTCTTTCCTCTTATATCAAAGTCTTGGTTCCTAACAACATTAACATAATTGTGCATTTGCATTATCCTGTAGCATATGCAGATGCTCCTTGACTTGTGATGGGGTTATGTCCCTATAAACTCATGGCAAGTCAAAAATATTGTAAGTCAAAAATGCATTGAATACGCCTAACTTACTAAACATCATAGCTTAGCCCAGCCTACCTTAAACATACTCAGAACACTTACATTAGCCTACAGTTAAGCAAAATCATCTAACACAAAGCTTATTTTATAATAAAGTGTTGAATATCTCATGTAATTGATTGAATGCTGTAGATGATGTTGAAATTGTGACAGTTTCACACCATCATAATGTGAAAAAACCTAAGTTAAACCATCATAAGTCAGGGACTGCCTGGTATAGAACATCACAAAATAACACCAATATTACTACTAAGAAGTAGACTTCTGTTGACCTTTGCAGTTTCTCTGTAGCTCTATGTGTTCCCAGAATATATTCCACTGAGGGTGTACAGTCAATATACTGTACACTATAGTCATTTGAAATATTTATTTTCTTTGTCAGCTTATGCCCCCAACTTGATAGAGAGCTGTGTTCTTTGTTTATCTTATTTTTAACTTTCAGGAGTTACTTTTTTCTTATTTATGTATTTTAAAAATATGTCAAACATGTATGTATTTCAAGGACAAGTACCTAGCAAAATATACCCAAAAAGCCTTGCTTCAATTTCTGTTCCCTCCACTCTGTCCCCTTCCTTTCCCTTGAGGAACGATTTTTATTAATTTTTCAATTTATTCCTCCAGAATTTCTTTCTGAAAAAATAAGCAAATATATACCCCCTCACTTTTCTCACACAAAGGTAGAACCTTTCTTTCTTTCTTTACCCATATCACCTTAGAAGATAGTCTATGTCCATGGATAGAGGCTTTCCTTATTTTCACAGTTGTATAGAATTCCACTGTGTGGATATATCATAGCTTACTCAACTCTCCCCTATTGTTAGTTATTTCTAATCTTTCAGAATCTCAGCTTCTAACCATTAAGAGTGTATAGTCTTAGAAAGTCATATCACAGAGCATTCCCCATTTGATCCCCCTGCTTTGGAATGCAATAGCTGTGATATTCTGGAAAATCTTCGTAACTAAATCCTTTTAACCTCTATTTCCTCATATGGAAATGGGAACAATAAGTCTTATTTTTCAGAATGGTTGTACGGCCCAATTGAGACCATGCTTATGAATATGTCTAGCAAAGGGCCTGATATACAAAACGTGCTCAGTAAATGGTAATTATGAACATTAATATTATCATCTATTTTAGCTCTAAAACAGATTCTGTCTATTACAACTAACATTTGTTGAGAGCTCATTATCTAGCAGTGCTTCACCAACTAATTGTACTTAAATTCTCTCACAAAAATCATATGGGCAGGAATTATCAGTCCTCATTTTGCAGGCAAGAAAACTAAGGCTCAGAGGGATAAGGAGACTCCCCGAGATCATACAGCTGGTTCAGCTCTTTAAGCGAAGGAGGACAATCACAGAGAAGACCACTGGGAAAGGGGCCCTGCTGCAAGAGTTGGGGAGACAACCTCTGCAGGGCCACTTTTGGGGTAAGAAACCAGCCATCAAGCCAGGAAGACCTGTGTCAAACAGAGGTTTCCAAAGATGGAGCAGTCAACATCAAGGGGTAATGAGCTTCCCTTCCTGCTGATGTGTGGTCCAAAGCTGGACCCCCTCCTCACCCTAGAGGGGGCCATTGCACAGGAGGAACTCTACTGCCTACTTGAGACTGAGTCTGTCATGAAATCTCCTTGCCAGATGCATATTACATTTTAAACAGCCTGTGGGAGTTTGCCATACTCAGAATTTGGACACCAATGAAAAAAGGACATTGATAAACCCTTTATCTGAAGTTGACAGTGAACTGGGGCTACCCACCTGCCAGAAACTCCTTACCTTATAGACAAATCCCTCTGGGCAGCTGTGGTCATAGGTGAAGGCTTTGTAAACCACCAAGAACACAATGCAGGCAAGGAAAGCAAGGGCCAAGCTGACAAGGATGGTGACCTGGAAGAAGACAAAATTGAGAATCACCCAGCCTCAGCCAGCCCACTTTTAGTTCATATGTGTAGCCTTCCAAACCTAGAGCTCCTAGGCAGCATGGTATGTTAGAAAGAGTAGGGGGCGGGAAGCCAAAGAATTGGCTTTGTCTGCAACTTGCTGCCTTGGGCAAACCAGCTGCACTCTTTTGGCCTCAGTTTACCCCTTCTGCAGGATTTTCTTTCTCATTTTACTTTTCCTGCTAACTGTGTAGGAGTGGTGAGAGGATTGATTACAGATCTGTCATTTGTGATGCTTCCAGCCTTCTGTCACCACCACCACCACTACTGAATTCCTAATCTCAGACATCAACGGCTTCACTCACTCCACTTGGACATCTAATACACACCTGAAACACATTCCCAAACTGGATTCCGCTCTTCTTCTACCCAGACCCTCCACCTGCATTCCTCTTCATCTCAGGAAATGTCAAGTCCATCTCTGCAGTCACTCAGGCTAAAATCTTCAAGTCATCCTTGACTCTCTTTTTTTCTCACACTCTACATCCAATTTAGCAGAAACTGTCATTTCTGCCTTCAAATACGTCCATAACCTGATTACTTCTGACCACCTCAATCATTTCCACCCTGACCCAAGTACCATCACCTCTCACCTGCAGTATCAAAACAGCCTGCTTATTAGTGGCTTCCTTGCCCCTTACGATGTATTTGACACACAGCAACCAGACAGATCCTTGTAAAAGCTAAGTCAAGACATGCCCCTTTTCTGCTCAAAAGCATGCAATGGTCTTCAACTCATTCAGAGTAAAAACCCAGCTCCTAGTCATTATCTACAAGCAACCTTTAGAAAAATAATACAGCACCAAACTGAGGGAATCATCAGAATATATCAGAAAGGAATAAATGGCTAAGTTGAGAGGAATCTCAAGGCTTGCACTGGCCCTGTCCCACCACCTATGTACCCCCATGATATTGGGGCATTTGGTGTTAGAAACAATTTTAATAAGCAGAATATTTTTGTTATTTTTAAAAGCTGGTGGTCCTTTGAATCAGTTGGCCTAGAAATATGGTAGAATTCCTGCCCTGGAGGAAACGTTCCTTTTGATTCAGAAGAAAAATAAAATCAACTTCGAGGGTCTCCATCCCATCTCCCTCCAATCCTAGGACATGTTTATAAGGACAGAAGGAGATGGGAGTCTACATTGCTCCAAATAAATGGAGTTCTTTGTTGGTAGCTTTAAATATTGAATGGGAGAAATTTGAAAAGGAAAAGAGGAAGACAGATATGGGGGGTGGGGTCTGTTCAAATCATAAGGGCAGACACTGTTATAAGAAATTCCTCATACGTGTGTGTATGAAATTTCAGGATAGCGACATGTAAAATTCAGTTTTAAACTATTAACACAATGTGCTGTTCACACCCTCCATTCCCCCCAGCTCTTTGCTGAAGCCTGCTGCACTCATCATCTTCCTGCCCGGGGAATAGGGTGGTGATGGTATGCGGTGAGATGAGGCAGAGATTGGACTGGAATTACCTATGCAACATGTGAAAGTGAGGTGGAGAAGTAAGTGGAGGCTGGATCTGGAGCAGAAGATCCCTCAAAGAGACAGATATCGCCCTTGGACCTCCAAAGACAGCATTTGAATAGTACAGAAAAGGGGGTCACCCAAGCCCACTATCCACTAATGCTGAAGACCTAAGGATGTCAGCAGACATTTGCAGTATAGATGTAAGGAATTTTAAAATGCCCAGATTTCCCAACAGCCAAAAGGCAGAAACAGCCCAGACATCCATTAACAGATGAATGGATAAACAAATTGTGGTACATCCATACAATGAAGTATTATTCAGCCATAAAAAAAGAGTGAAATACCTGCTGCAAATGTGGATGGACCTCAAAAACATTATGCAAAAGAAAAAAGCCAGACACAAAAGGTTACATATCATGTGATTCCACTTATATGAAATATCCAGAATAGGTGAATCCACAGAGACAAAATGCATTACATATGCAATGTTGAATATATTAATTATCCTGATTTGAGTGTCCCATATTGCACACAGGTAATGATATTCCACTCTGTACCCTGCAGATATGTACAATTAGTTTCAATAATAAAAAAAAAATTAAATTAAATTAAATTTTTTTTAAAAAAAAGGAATAGATTGGTGGTTGCCAGGGGCTGGGGGGTAGGGGTAATGGAGAGTGACTGTTATTGATTATGGGTTTCCTTTGTGGTGATGAAAATGTTTTGGAACTAGATGGAAGTGCTGATTACACAACATTGCAAATGTACTAAATATCACTGAATTGTTTACTTTAAAGTGGTTAATTTTATGTTATATAAATTTTACCTCAGTTTTTTAATACAAATGCCCACAGCCCAGGCAGCAGCCTGGCACCCACAGCTCTGCCCCAGGGATAAGGAGTCATTTTCCTAAGTGGCGACTCTTTCCGTCAAAGGAACCACAAAATCCTGCTAGTACTCCCTCACTTCACAGAGAACACTGCCTCAGCCCAGCCACAAGAGCTGACTATGAGACCAGGACACAGATACAGTCACAGGCACACCTATGGACAATGATGTGGCTGCAGACCTTGTGCATGTGAAGGAGGGAGCAGAGGGCTGCAGCCCCTCCCTGCCCCTGCCTCCAGCCTGGTGGAGGGTCAGAGGGAGCCCCGAGGAAGCCTTCCATCCCAATGACCATGTATGAGCCTGACCCTGACTAAGCAGAGCCCCAGGCCTCTTGGAAGACTCAGGAGCAGGACGAGACCTCCCAGTGCAGGCATGGGAGTACCACACAGGACTGGACACTTCCCCTGGTCAGCCGCAGGTTGTTGATGCAGTGTTGAGATCTGGAGCAGGGCCTGGAATGCCTGCCCATGAACAGATTTCCCTTACAGAGGTGGGCTCTTTCACTCCTAACACTCCCTGAGTTAACAACCCCCACCTAGGAGGAACAGGGTCCAATTCACCAAAGTGTCACCAGAGCTTGACAGCATGAGCACAGAGTAGGCTTTCTGCAAATGGTTCTGGGGGGAAAAAATGGGTAGGGAGGGAGGTAGGGAGGCAAGAAGGGAGGTTCTCATTAGGTAGAGAGATTTCAACTCCCATTCACATTAGAAGCATCTGAGGAGTCTTTTAATGTGGATGCCTAGGGTGTCACCACCCCATGGATTCTAACTTAATGGGTCAGGGATGAGTCGGTCCAGGACACGAGTATTTTTATAAACTTTCCAGGTGATTAAAATGTGCAACCAGGAAAGAGAACTCTAGTATGACTATGTGTGAGCAGTTCTCTAGCTAGCTGCACATTGTTAGAATCACCTGGGCAGTGTTGCAAACAATAGTGATGTTCTGGCTCCACCCCAGGCCAATTCCATCAGAGTCTCTGGGGGTAGAGTCCGGGCCTCATGATGTTTTGAAGCCCCACGATGGTTCCCATGTGCAGGCAGGGTCAAGAAGAGTCCTGTATGTAGACACTGGACAGGGTGCCCTCTATGACTGTCAGAGTCAAAGGTCTAATGCCGAGTGGTGTCATGGATTGAATGAGCCAGCCAAAATTCACGTTGAAATTTGATTGCCATTATAATGGTGTGGAGAAGAGGTGATTAAGTTGTTGGCAGCTTTAAACACTAGATGGAAAATTTCCAAAAGAAAAGAGGAAGGTCTTCTCAACCCTGCCTGTGCACAGGAATCCTTAAGAGTCTAGGGAGGTCAGACAGTACATAGTGGTGAACCAGGCACAGGTCCTCCCTTGAGACTTTACAGTCTACAGGGTGAGGGAGAGATGGACAGGTGGATGCAGGCATCTGCAACACAAGGGGTGGCACCATCATCGAGGCCATCAGCACAGGGATCTGCTAGAACTAACCAGACTGGGAGTGGGGGATCAGAGAAGGACCTGACACCAGAAGTGACCTCATGGAAGAACATTAGGATAGGAGAGGAAGAAGACTGAGCAGAGGAAATCACATCCACTATGGAGCAGAGCTGGACAGAATAGGGGCTGTTCTGAAAGCATCATAGGGTTTAGCATGGCTGGCCTGGAGGGTGTAAGTGAGGGCAGGGCTTGGTGGGCTGGGTACGTGAGAAGAGAACACATAATAAGGGACCAGACTAAAATTTGGACTTTATCTCAAGAGTGACAGGGAGCCATTGAAGAAGGGATGTGACAGGATCCCTTATATTTCAGAAAGATGTCTCTGGGAACAACAGGAGGCAGGTTTGTAGGGGTAACGTGGGAGGCAGGGAGGCCAGTGGGGAGGCTGGTGCATTAGGGCATGCCCTGAAAGCAGAAGGGTGGAAAGAGTCAACAACTTGAGAAAACCTGGAAAGTGAGGACAGTGTCGTGAGACTAGAGGAGGAATGGCAAACTCACGGAAGGGAAGTTGTTGGGTTGGGGTGGAGAGCTGAAGAATTCTGATTTGGTTCCAGGGTGAGATTTCCTGCAGGCAGCTTTCAGTGGGGCACCCTGCAGAACTGGCTGCCCTGAGGTGGCCACCCCTCTACTGGTAGATTTGTGGAATTCAGAGGTCCTACATGCTTGATCCCTGCAGACTCCGAGGGCTGGGGAGGGAAATTCCCACTTCCCCACACAGCACCTCTGAACATGAAAGCCTGACTCCACATCAATATTTATTGACTTGGCTTATATAACCTCATTCCTCGGAGACTAGCACCTCTTGAATTTAACAACCTGAGCCTAGCAATAAACAGCCTATTAGTTCTTTGGAGCTAGATCTGACTGTTTCATTGGAGATATGTTCCTCACTGCGTTAAAACCCCCTCTTTGTTCTCCCTGCTCACCCACCCACTCACTCATCCACTCATTCACTTAGCACCTATTTGCTAAAGGGCTGACTGGGTGCCAGACACTGCGACAGTCATTGCCTTGAGCTTTCAGAAGGAGAGAGGCAGACATTGAATGAGCAAATAACAAAATGAATAATTACAAAATCAGAACTGGACAGGACCTGGAACAGTGCATATGAAGGGTGCACT